TCCTTCCAGTGAATATTCAGGACTGATTTTCATTAGGATTGACTGATTGATCTCCTTGCTGTCCAGGGGACTCTCAAGAGTTTTCTTCAACATCTCAGTTCAAAAACATCAATTCTTTGGTGTTCACCTTTCCTTATGGTCCAACTCTCACATCCATACATGACTTCTGGAAAAACCAGAGCTTTGACTAGACAGACCTTTGTCTTCAAAGTAATGTTTCTGCTTTTTAATATGCTGTCTAGGTTGGTCATGGGCTTCTTTTGTGGCTCAGCTGGTAAAGAATCTGCCTGCAGTGTGGGAGACCTGAGTTTGATACCTGGTTGGGAAGATCCCCTGGAGAAGGGAAGGGCTACCCACTCCAGTATTCTGGCCTGGAGAATTCCATGGACTGTATAGTCCGTGGGGTAGCAAAGAGTTGGACACAACTGAGCGACTTTCACTTTCACTTTTCTTTCAGGTTGGTCATAGTTTCTTTTCCTAGTAGCAAGTATCTTTTAATTTCATGGTTGCAATCACCATCTGCAGTGAAGAATCAGAACATGACTGAGCAACTGAACTGAACTGAGTGGGATTAGATGCCATGATCTTAGTTTTTTGAATGTTGAGTTTTAAGCCAGGTTTTTCACTCTCCTCTTTCACTTTCATCAAGCGGCTCTTTGGTTCTTCTTCACTTTCTGCCATAAGGGTGGTGTCATCTGCATATCTGAGGTTATTGATATTTCCCCCTGAATTCTTGATTCCAGCTTGTGTTTCACCCAATCCAGGATTTCACATGATGTAGTCTGCATATAAATTAAATTAGCAGGGTTACATTATATAGCCTTGATGTACTCCTTTCCCAATTTGGAACCAGTCCATTGTTCCTTGTCTGGTCCTAACTGTTGCTTCTTGACCTGCATACACGTTTCTCAGGAGGCAGGTAAGGTGATCTGGTATTCCCATCTCCTAAGACTTTTCCACAATTTGTTGTGATCCACACAATCAAAGGATTTAGCATCGTCAATGAAGCAGAAGTATATGTTTTTCTGGAATTGCCTTGCTTTTTTATGATCTGATAGATGTTGCAATTTGATCTCTGGTTCCTCTGCCTTTTCTAAATCCAGCTTGAACATCTGGAAGTTCTTACTTCACTTACTGTTGAAGCCTAGGTTGGAGAATTTTGAACATTTCTTTGCTACCATGTGAGATGAGTGCAATTGTGCAGTAGTTTGAACATTCTTGGCATTGCCTTTATTTGGGAATAGAATGAAAACTGACCTTTCCCAGTCCTGTGGGCACTGTTGAGTTTTCCAAATTTGGTGGCATATTGAATGCAGCACTTCAAGAGTATCATCTTTTAGGATTTAAAATAGCTCAGCTGGGATTCCATTACCTCCACTAGCTTTGTTCATAGTGATGATAGTGATACTTCCTGAGGTCTGCTTGACTTCACATTCCAGGATATCTGGCTCTAAGTGAGTGACCATACCATCATGGTTATCTGGGTCATGAGGATCTTTTTTGTATAGGTCTTCTGTGTACTCTTGCCACCTCTTCTCAATATCTTCTGCTTTTGTTAGGTGCATGCAATTTTTGTCCTTTATTGTGTTAGGATATATTCCCTTGGTATCTCTAATTTTCTTGAAGAGATTTCTAGTCTTTCACATTCTATTGTTTTCCTCTATTTCTTTGCACTGGTCACTTAGGGATGCTTTCTTATCTCTCCTTGTTATTCTTCAGAACTCTGTATTCAGATGGATATATCTTTCCTTTTCTCTTTTGCCTTTCACTTCTCTTCTTTCCTCAGCTATTTGTAAGGCCTCTTCAGACAATCATTTTGCCTCTTTGCTTTTCTTCTTGGGTATGGTTTTGATCACCACCTCCAGTACAATGTTATGAACCCTGGACCATACTTCTCTAGGCACTCTATCAGATCTAATCTCTTGAATCTGTTAACATCCATATTGCATGTGATATTACCACTCTGCCTTATCCTTATCTTATATACTGCTTCCATTACCTACTAATATTTCTGTTGCCACCCCTAGCCTGGAAACACATTTAACAAGGATGTGATATGCACAACTAGTAAGGTCCCTGAAGATAATAATTTAGCAGCAAATTTATGCTGAATAATTTAAGGAGAGTGCAGTGTGCATTTAATTCAGTGACTGTACAACAAATCATGGCTTTTTTCTCTTAGGTAATTTTGAATTTGTTGAAGACATCCTTATCCCTCAAAACTGAAACTCTGTAGGAATATGATATAAGTGACTCTCTTCTGTAAATATTATAGGAAAGAAAACAGAATTGGAGTAATTACTTATATAGATCATAGACACTGAATACTTAGTATATGCCAGCATTAGGCTTATCACTTTACATGTATTAGCATAATTAGTCCTCACAAATACATGGGCCATTAGTACTATTGTCTTCATATTTTAGACTAGAAACTGAGGTTAGTAGAGTTTAATTAACTTTCTCTGGGAGAGATAACTAATGAAATGTGAGACTGGGATTCAAACAGGCTAATAGATAGCTTTTTTATATCAAGTGGTTTAGGAAAGAAATGTGACAAGTTTACATAATATTACACATCCTCTGGGTATTGTGGCATTCATTTATCCATCAATTCATTCATTCCTTCATCCACATAACTAACAACTATCCAGGGAGAACATCCTATTTGTCACCATATGCTTAATGAAGTGTCTAAGAGAAAGTCAAAAGATATGGTGTGTCCTTAAAGTATGTCTTCTTTATGGTGGGAGGGATGAAGTTGTACAATAGATAGTTTTAAATTATTAAGAATTAGAGGACTTCCTTCATGACTCATTTGGTAAAGAATCTGCCTGTAGTGCAGGAACCTGGGTTCAATTCATGGGTCATGAAGATTCCCTGGAGAAGGAAATGACAACCCACTCCAGTACTCTTTCTTAGAGAATTCCATGAACAGAGGAGCCCAGCAGGATACACTCCATGGGATCACAAAAAATAGGACACGACTGTGTAACTAATTTTCACTTTCATTGAAAATCATGTTTGGAAGTTGAAGAGAGTAAAACTTGAATTACTCAATTATAATGCAAAAGGTATAGTGACAGTTTATTAAATTAAGTGATGTTTACTAAACCACCTGTATTCTAGGTTTTGGGATATATACCAACTTTAAATTAGTGAGCAAAGCCAAACATGGACCTAGTCAGCTTGAAGGTGATGATCCTGGGGATAAAATATATGAAATCAATCAAAAAATATTGTTAAAATTGCAATTGTGAAAAGTTCTATCATCTAAAGTTATATGATATTTTAAGAGCAGATACTAAGAGGATATGACTTGGAAAGATCAGCCAAGGAGGCAATGAAAATGTAAGAAGATAAATATAACTAAATCCTAACAAAGATAAATGCTAAAACTGAAAATTAGCAAATTATAAAAATACAATATTTAAATACATAGAAATACAAATTATCTGATAGTGCAACCATCTGTATTACTAAAACTAATGGAAGACAGATAATGGAATATTTTTAAGTACTGAAAGAAAGTATCTGTGTATCTACATTTATATCCAAATAAATTCTTTGAGAAGTAAAATTAAAACAAGAAATTTTCAGAAAAATAAAAAAGGAGAATTAGTCTCACACAAATTCTCACTGAAATAACTGAATATAAAGGTATATATTACACAGAAGAAAACTAAACCTGAAGTGTGGGGGGAAGGAGAACAGTGAGAGATTCACTGATAAAGTTCACTAAAGTTAAAGGAATATTGATATTAAATAAATATTCAATATAACCATAATTACATTCATATATAATAATAATATTTAAAGTTCATTTTAAAATAAAAGCTATTGTCAATAATTAAGTATATACTTCCAAATGATGCCACATAAGTTAGAAGCAGAATGTAACTAGAGTTAAAATATTCTAAGATCCTTCTGTTTTTTCATTACAAAGTAGACTTACTGATTAATGGAGATTTCTGTCAAAAGTTTTATGAATGAGGATTCCACTGTGTGGTTAGTGACTTAGTCATGTCCAGCTCTTTGTGACCCTGTAGCCCACCAGGCTCCTCTGTCCAAGGGGATTCTCCAGGCAAGGATACTAGAGTGGGTTGCCATGATCCCCTCCAGGGGAACTTCCCAACTCAAAGACTGAACCCAGGCCCCCTGCTTTGCAGACAGATTCTTTACCATCTGTGCCACCGGGAGGCCTAAATAGACCAATATGTGTGTGTTTTAGTCACTCAGCCATGTCCGACATTTTGTGGCCCCATGGACCAGGGCTCACCAGGCTCTTTGGCTATGGGATACTCCAGGCAAGAATGCTGGAGTGGGTTGTCATTTCCTTATCCAGAAATAGGTCAGTACTAATGCCTAAATATATTTTTTAGAGAAACAACTTAAAATACTCAAATATTTTAACTGACGTATAATGTACATAAAGGAAAAATCAAACAAACAAACAAAAAACTTTTCCTCCTGATATGGTTGACAAGTTTTGAAAAATAGTTTGGAAATTATTAAGCCTCCCATATCTAACAAATTGTCATTGCCTTAGCAACATTTGGAAATGCTGACTTTTATAACTTTTTACTGTTTTGAGTATTGTGGTTAAAATTATCTGGCCTTTATTAATTTTAGAGAGCAACAACAATGCTGTCTGGTTTTGTCATTGAATTTCTATGTGATATTCATTTTAAATACAGTGAAATATCACAAGGTAATGACCTGACACATTCTTTCAAGTCTCATAAGTGAATTACAAAAGGAAAAAAAAAAAAACAATGACCAAAATGGACTTATTAATTTAATATTCTCTCTAATTTGTCAGAGAATACAAAATATTACATACCACTGACCAAATGTGTACCCTATTTGACAAACAATTTCTCTTGAATCACTTTTTTCATTACTCTTTTAACATCTTTGTTCCGAAGGCTGTAGATCAAAGGGTTTAGCATAGGACTCAGAAAAATATAAAAAACAGCTACGATTTTGCCCTCTTCCACAGATGTCTCGGAAGGGGGCCTCAGAAACATACAGAAGCGTGTCCCATAAAATACAGTGACAGCTGTCAAGTGAGACCCACAAGTGGAGAAGGCTTTGCTCCTCCCTTCTGCAGAGTGGATATGTAGAATGACTCTAAAGATGAAAATGTAGGAGATGAAGATGATGGTAAGAGAACACGTGAGGTTGAAACCAGCTCCCACGAACATGGCAGTTTCTTTGACATAAGTATCTGAGCAGGCCAGGACTAAGAGCGGTGGGTCCGCACAGTAAAAGTGGTTGATTTCATTGGGTCCACAGAAGGAGAGACGGAGCATCAGGATGGTCTGGGTAAGACCATTTGCAAAGCCATAAATATAAAATGTAGCAACAAAAGAGAGGCAGACACCTCGGGACATTTTGATGCCATATAACAAGGGTTTGCAGATGGCCATGTAGCGGTCATAGGCCATCACTGTGAGCATATAGCAACCCGTGGACCCCAAGAAAATGGAAAAGTCAAACTGTATAAAGCAACCAAGGAAGGAAATAGTTTTTCTCTCAGATGAGAGACTGACCAGCATCTGAGGAGTGACAGTGGTGGCATAACAGAGATCTACAAAGGAAAGGTGGCTGAGGAAGAAGTACATTGGAGTCTGAAGTTTTGAGTCACTTCTGATTAACAAAATCATGCCCACATTTCCGATGACTGTGATCAGGTAGATGACTAAGAAGACCACAAAAAGGACAGGCTGCAAGTCAGCTCGATCTGTCAGTCCCAGGAGGATAAACTCAGTCACCTCTGTGTAGTTTTTCTTTAACATCGTGTTTGCTCAGCTTCCAATGATGTCTAAAGTAAAGGAAATTAAAATGAATTGGTCCCTTGTCATTTTTCCATTACTCACATCATGTCACCTGAGGCCAATTCCTTTCAAACTCGTAAATACATGTGGTATAAAGACATAATATAGGGGACTTCCCTGGCAATCCAGTAGTTAAAACATCACCTTCAAATGCAATGCATGAGTATTTAATTCCCAGTTATACAGCTAAGATCCAAGATGCCTCATGGCCAAAAAACAAAAACATAAAACTATACTAATAGTGTAACAAATTCAGTAAAGATTTTGTAAATGGGCCACATCAGAAAGTATTTTAAAGACCGAAATAAGCTAGTAAGCATGAGTTACATATTTCTGATATCTAACTTAATAGTTTCTTTACATAAAGGCAATCATATTTTCAAATGTTTCTCTGCTATTCTTTTCATAGTTGAAAAGCTTTTATCTTTTCTAGAAAACATTAGCATAAATTGACCACTGATATTGACCAACTTTAAATATTGTTTGTCTTTGAAATTATGTTCCTTTGTTTTTACTATAATTTTGATGTGGTATCTAACTCATCAGTAATTGAAACTCATTTTTTCACAGCTGATTGGGCTTAAGTAAGTGGAATAGATATATCTTTATAGAAGCAGTGTCTGTCTACCTGCCACTCTAACCTCAAGGTCATTTTAAAGATAGCCCGTCACCTTGCGATGTATGTTCATTTTATCCACTCTTGCCTATCTCCTGTGGTTCTCACCAAGTCTTACTTAACTTTTAAGACATCTTAAGATATCCTTGTCTTTCTATATTACAGTCAATTATTGAGGGCAAAAGTTAATTCCTGGGGTACAAAATAAACCAGTTTTTTTTTTTCCCAAAAACAGGTAAGCAATTAGTACATAAGCAATATGTGTATATTTTTATACATACACATGTTAACTATTAAATGAAGGAGCAATAATGTATTAAACAAATTATTTGGGGAGCAAAAAATTATTAAATGTATTTAACACATTGTTGGAGAAGTAACTGTGGGAGACAAGAAGAATAAAAGAAAAGCAGGCCCTGGCAAGGGCTGAAAAATAAATTTATAATTATTGATAAACTGGATGCTATAAGGCATGAGACTCTTGGAAAAAATCCAGAGGAAACAATTCATAATCTTGAAAACAAGATATGATCCTGGGGTGGGAAAACCGACCCCAGACTGTTTCTCAACTGGCATCTCAGAGTCCCATGTTTTACGTATCTGGTAGAAAATCTATAGATAAGTATTAGTCTTAGTTACTGACTTGTTATTGATTACTGTTTCCTAATTACTCAATGGTTAATGATCATTTTGATCTTTGGCCCTGAAGTCCACATGAGTTATAGTTTAACTCCCTGCATATTCTTCCATTCACGGCTGAAAGCTGGCTTGGATTCCGTTTCGGCACGTTCGCGCTGGAGCAGTGTTGGTCCCCTGATCCTCGCTTTTCTCTGAATTCTTGTGTCTCCTTTCTCATTCTCTTGCCGCATTGCGCTTTTGGAAACCCTGGTTGTTGAGCTGGTCTCCACAAGTGGCACCCGAACAGGGACCCGGAAGTGAATCCTGCCTTCGAGGCTAGCTCCTAAATGGCAGAGAAGGCAGGGAAATCCGGCCAACTCGGTGGACGACAAAAGTACTCGGTAAGTACACCCCTGCGGATTTGTCAGTCAGGGAAACAATGGGGCAAAATCCTTCTGAGCATAGTGACTAAATGCAAGTATTAAGAACTTTGTTTAAAAGTTCGGGGGTTGAGATTTCTCACTCCTCTTTTAAAAAATTGTTTTGTGCCATTGAAAAATATTATCACTGGCTAGATCGAGATAAAGGGACTCTGAGACATGAATAATGACAAGAAGTTATGCATTGCCTGCGCTGTGCCTACCAACGCGGTGAAAAGATTCCTTTGTCTGTATCGTCAGTAGGGAATCTTATTAACACAGCTTTAAGACCACTATAATCCGAAACCTCGGATTCAGGAGATTCTGTAAAACAAATACAAGAACAAATGGAGAAAATGAATTTATATATATTTATATATATATGTATATTAACGTAGGTGATGAGAAAGAAAAACAATCAATACAAATGAAAAATAAGAGACAAAAAAAAATGATAGAAGTCAAGAACAGCTCTTTCTCACTCGACCAACTGCACCTTTGGTCGAGCCTCCTCTTTTCAATCCTGAAACCACTGAGATGATAGATTTGCTTTTAAACCACAGATAACTGCCTAATAAAATGACTCCTTTACAAAAGGGAGTTCTTATGACGCAGTTGCAGGGAGATGAAGTTGCTTTAGTTCTCCCTGTTGCTATAACTCAAATCCCACCATATCCTCAATTCCTACAAGGAAAAATGCATTATGATTATAATGCCATACCATTTAAAACTGTAAAGGAGATAAAACAGACATGTACCCAATATGAAACTAATTCTCCTTATACCATGGGACTAATTCAGGGACTTTCACAAGCTAAATGGTTAATTCCTTATGATTGAAAAATGATAGCCAACTTGCCTTTCCACCTCAAAATTTTTACAATTTAGTACCTGGTGGCAAGATGAGACAAATCAACAAGCTCACAAAAATGAGACAGCCAACCCTCCAGTTGATATAACACTTGCTCAATTAATGGGTAGTGGGACACATTTTGACATTCAAGCTCAGTTACAATTTGATGATCAATTACTTGCTCAAGTGAAAATGATATGTTTAAAAGCCTGGGGGAAAATAAATCCACCTGGACAAGCCTTGATTTCATTTACCCAAATTAAACAATCAACTGGGGAACCTTATGTAGATTTTATTGCCAGGCTATGTCAAAATTTAAATAAAACAGTCTCACAACCTGGTTTGAGAGATATGCTGATGCAAGTTCTTGCTTATGACAATGCTAACTCAAAATTTAAGAAGGTGATGCAGCCTCTCAAAGCACAGGGTGCCCCTCTAAAAAATATCTTAAAGTTTGCCAGGATATTGGATCAGAACCACATAAAATGCAACTTCTGGCTCAAACATTGTCTAAGGCTACTAAAAGACAGATATAAAATGTCACCAATATGGAAAATTAAGACACATTAAAAAGGTTTGTAAAGGAGAAAATTCAAAGCAGACAAAAAATGATATCAAAATTCCAGGATTATGCCCAAAATGTCAAAAAAAAATCACTGGACAAATCAATGTTAAGTCAAAATGTCATAAAGATGGAACTCCCTTGGCAGGAAACGGGGATTGGGGCCCCAGAAACAGTGTGGACACTTGGAACGCAGTTCCCTATGCCTACCCGGCTCAACCGGTAGAAAACAATCAGTTCATGACTTACTCCCAACAACATCAGAGAGTGCAACATTAGACATACCAGCCATAGAAAATTTATTAGTAATGCCCTCTATGAAAATATATAATATACCAACTGACATCTATGAACCCCTACCAAAAATACTGTTGGTTTAATAATAGAAAAAAGCAGTCTCACTTTAAAGGGGGTTAAAGTTCAAGTTGAAATAATAGATGAAGATTTTGAAGGAGAAATACTTACGCTGCTAAAAACCAATGTTCCCTATCAAATATCTGTGAGAGATCAAATTGCTCAATTATTATTATTATCTTATCTAAAATTAAATTCTTCTCCTAAAAAGAGAATAGGGAGATTTGACAGTACTGGAAAACAAGTATTTTGGCAAACTTTTGTTACAGACGAAAGACCAACGTTAGAAATAAAAATTATGGAAAGGCAATTCCCTGGACTTATGGACATAGAGGCAGATGTGTCTGTCATTGCCTCTAAGCACTGGCCTCAGTCTTAGCCATTACAACAAGTTCCTACAATTGTTACTGGAATAGAAACAATGAACAATATAGCTCAGAGTACACGCCCTATGCGATGCCAGGGGCCTGATCAACAAACCGCTATGTTTCAACCATTGGTCACTGATATTCCTATTAACTTATGGGGCTGTGATTTACTTATACAATGGGGAACTTATATTACAATACCTTCCATAATGTCTCAGACAAAACAAATTATGACTAATATGGGACTTCACCCCAGTACTCCTCAAAATTTAGCCTAGGGGCCACTGTTCTGGAGGCTGCATTAAAAATAAAATGGCTTTTAAATAAACCTATATGGGTGGAACAGTGGCCCTTATCAAAAGAAAAAATTGAAACCTTACAAACTTTAGTAGAAGAACAATTAAAACTAGGACATATAGTAGAAACTACTAGCCTTTGGAATTCACCAGTCTTTATGATTAAAAAGAAGTCAGGAAAATGGAGAATGCTTACAGTTTTAAGAAAAATTAATGCTGTTATGGAACCCATGAGAGCATTACAACCTGGACTCCCTTCTCCTGCTGTGATTCCAAAAGGATGGGAAATTATTATCATTGATTTAAAAGAGTTTTTTTCACTGTCCCATTAGATCCTAAAGATGCTCCAAAAATTGCTTTTACTATTCCGAATATTAATAATAAAGGCCTTAATCAACGATATCAATGGACTGTCTTACCACAAAAAATGATGGACAGCCGCACCTTATGTCAACACTTTGTAAATCAGCTCTTACGTTTAATTAGAAAAATATATTCACAAGCCTATATTATTCATTATATAGATGATATTTTATTAGCATGCTTTGATAAGAAATTTATTCAACAAATATTTTTAGAAACCCAAAAGATTTTAAAACTATATGGATTAGTTATTACAACAGATAAAATTCAAAATGAAGCTCCTTATCAATATTTAGGATATATATTAAGTAGAAACTTAATAGCTCCACAAAAAACAGATTTGAACTGATCAGTTTAAAACTTTAAATGATTTTCAAAATTTGGTGATATTAACTGGCTTTGTCCAACATTAGAGATTCCTAATTATGCCTTAAAAAATCTATTTCATATATTACAAGGAGATAATGAGTTAAACAATCCTCTCTCTTTAACCCCTGAAACCA